TTCATCAATAATTCGCCTAACTCCAGTCAAACATTGCTCTCCTACGAGATCAACTTCACAGACAGACATGCTTTGCCGTGAACTACGCCTAATTTTGATAATCATCTCTAATTATGGTTTGTCTATAGATTCGAATTTATCATCACAGTTTACGCATAGAATTGGAGAACTTCTAGCTAACGTACACCTTGACTGATTTTATCAAGATTTTGTTTTTTGTCAAGATTTTTTGTATTTTATCAAGATTTTTTGTTTTTGTTTTTTTTTAATTTATTTTTTTAATCAAGATTTCAAAATCATTAGGGTATTCTAGCTGGAAGAATACCCTAATGATTTTAAAATTCATTGTTTCATTGAATGGCAGTATCAGCTTTGTTCCACTGAAGGTTATCATAGACTACGTAGAGCCTAAATACCAAATATGATCCAGTGTTTAAATCTGAAGTGGTATATGGCTAGCAAACATCAATTGCACACCAATGGGTAGCACGGCGACGAAAACAAAAAGTTGAAGAAGATCGATGGGGAACTGCCGCACCTGAAACCTTTTCGGTGCATCTTCCTTGTTTGCTGGTTCCTTGCTGTTATACTCTCCAACCGTTTGATCTTTAATGTCGTTGCTCTTTAATGTCTCAGCAGCCGAACTGTACCGTAAGAAAATGAAAAGAAACACAAGAATGACGGTTCTCATCGCTGCTAGCTGTGTGAGTATTGTTCTGCTTAAACACCAATCACCAATAAGAGCGCTTGATAAACTGAAATTTGAGAATTGCAGAGAACTTTAAGGCAATCAGGTCAAGTCGTCGGATCTGGACAAATCCAGCTTTATCGCTCGTCACACTAGTGGTATAATTACCACTGGCACGCATAGTATAATAACACTGAATGGCATCGAATCGCAATAAATGCTAGTGTTCATAATCGATTTGATCAGTGATTACGATAACATCAAAACAATAATAATCACACGAGTGGTCCAATAATACTCATAGCGATAATAGTATCAATAGTAATGACAATAATGATTGTGATTCTGATAATAATAGAACTTCGAAATGAAGAGTAACTTTTGAAAGATATAGAATATCTCAGTATTAGCAGCAATATTCTCTGTCCTCAGTACTTATGAACAATGAAAAATCAAATGAATAGGACGTAAGCAATGCTGTCAAAAATCACTGACGAATCACAATAACACGCGCTACAATAACATCATCATCATCCCACAATCAAAAACGAGTATTTTATATTATACTATATATTCGATTGATAATTATCAACTGCAAACGCATAAAATACATCCAAAACATATAACTGTTCAAATTTATAATACGAATACTGCTGTAAGTATATATCGATGAGTAAATCCGCTTAACATTTATTAGCGTATATTGCCATCAAAATGCATAATCAATCAGACATCACTGCTCCGCGTTTACATCGCATCACATTCGTTCAATTCATTCATTGAATCAGTTATACTTATTTCACAAAATTATCAATGCAAAAGATTGTTAGGCAATAGACTACAACGGTACTGTGGCAGCGGTATTTTACATTGATTGCAGTTTTAAGGGGCTTACTAGGACACAATATTCCGTGAAATAGAGAATCAGCTCTGAAAAAAATTGATTAAGGGGTTTCGTTGAATAAACTTTCCGTTTTTAGCGTGCCACTGCAAAACATCTTGAAATGCTCTTGTGAACCTTTTTACTGAGCAAACTGGTCTCTTGCTGAGACCAGATCGCTCTTGTCAATTACATTGAGCATCTTTAGTTGCAAAAATACTTTCGAACTATCTCAGAATTCTCTCATGATTATTTGTAAATCAAACTGCGCATCTAACGCAAGTGCTGAGTTTTTGCATGATTTTCTTCTAGTATAATGAATGTTCCCGGTCAACATTAGCAGTAATTGCATGCAGCCACCCAGTTTTTATGCTACCTAATAACCTAACTCGCATCAGTCAATCTGCTGGTGTAGATGGCAGTCGAGCTCAGTACCAGTATTCATTCCTGTGACAATGAGCGTTGCCG